CACGTCTAAAAAGAAGCGTCTACAAAAATGCGCGTCTAAAAAGACGCCGGGAAAAACGCCCATCTAAAAAGACGCTTGAACGCCGGTCAGATGCGCCGTATCACGGGAAAACAATGGTTTTACTGGCGTCGCGGTTCTAGTGTTTCATCTCCATTCCAGTGTTGCTGGAGCCCACAGGAAAGACGCTCAGCGATGCATTTTTTTTCTCCTAGCAAGTCTAAATTGATATATATTTTAAATGCTTGAGGATCCACTTATTACTAAAAGTGCATGTCATCCAAGAGAGACAATAAAAACTTAAGTAATGGCAAAAGTTGTCACAGTGAAATTTAAGGTGTGTTGATGGATTCACATCGTCAACTCATGCACTGGGTAACATTACAAGTTAACGTCCCACCTTAAAAGTTGCCGGCAGTCGGCCCAGTGAATTAAATTTTTTTCTTTCTCAGACTCCTGCTGCTGCAACAGGCCATAACAGTAGTTAAATGAGCTTCAGCACCAGCCACAACTCGTCCTCTATTGACCAATCAGACTGCAGTGTTCACAGCTCCATCTTTTAGTACCAGATCTGTGTGCTAGGTACCCCAACAGAGGGGGACCAAAAATGGGAATAGTACGGAACAGTTCCATTGGTACCATCCACAACTTTTCACAGTGGAAAAAAAGCATGCCGAACTGAACTGAACTGTATCGTACTGCTCAGTGGAAACAGGGCTATGAGGCGCAAAGCATCCATCATTGTTTAATGACAATTTAGCTTTTAACTAACTTTTTTTTCTGCATTCATATTCAGATATATGCTTAAACAGATAAGCTGAACCCCAGAGGCTTATTATCGTCCGACCAGTTGTCAATGGGTTCTGAGACTGTGAAGTGTTGTGGAAAGCTTGACTGTTATCTCGTGCTGTATGTGACACAAAATAAAGTTCAGTAAATCTAACAAAAGCGCAACCGTTCTGCTTTTAATAAACCATTATCTCTTGCAGCTTGCTCTGTATGCAAAGGCTGTCACAGGGAGGCAACATTTTTATTTGCTATCTAAACACAGCTCCAAACTGTTATTCTGTCTCAGTGTCTTCCTGTCTTCTCCTGTCATCTTATCTCCTCATGTCACAACCCACTGCAGCAGCTGTGCTTGTGCCAAAATGCTGGAGAATATGCATCATAATATATCATATGTATACGACTAAGATATGGGTAAAAAGGTCACGTTTCTGTTTTCAAGGAAAGGAAGCTATTTTATCATGTGAGTCACATCCTATCCATCTAAAATAGTGTGATGACCCTAAACTGTCTTGAATCACTAAAGCTTATCATCTCTTTTGTTTTTTAAATTGTCCAGTTACACATTTGCGTGAGTGTTGTCAGCATATTGGTAAGAGTGACTAAATTAAGATCTATAAGCAGCAAAGCTGGCTTTGGTTCAATAAACCATAGGTCAGGACACCAAGTGGGCTGCAGCCCTGTTTCTGAGGAATTTCGCAATAACAAGTAATAATTCTTCATGTCCAAAGTGGAAAAGGTTAAATGTCTTTTTTTTTTCACCCAAGGCTGAACATGAAAAAGACCCTATGCTTTAGTTATCTTATCCCACTTCTGTCTATGGCAGTTGGATGTGTCTCAGCCTAGTTAAAGTCAACATGCAAGAGATTTCTCAAAGCGTCATACCATAACATGAAATTGTTTAAAGGTTCCCACATGTCAACCAGGGGAAAAACAGTTTACTGTAACATATTAAGTCAACAAATGCAAAATATTATTCTGAGAATGTGGATTCCGTAAATAAAACAGCTTGAAAGCTACAGACCTAATCTATCCACAGAAGTGTAAATGGTCCTCACACTCCAATTTACCATCAAAGACCCCCTGAGGTTTGTGGCAGTGGGTGGGAGGTAAACAGTGTTCTCACCATCTCTTGTGAATTCACAAATAAACACACACACACACACACACACACACACACACACACCATTTGAGCGTCAGATCAGTATTAATTGGGTAGCATCAAAAGGGCACAGACACCTAGCACGCAGGGAGTATATGGCTGGTTTTCACTGTAGACCTTTATAAGTGGCTAAAAAAAAGATGAATTGCAAACTTTAGCCCTTTTCAAACAGGAGTTGTGCAAATTTGCAGGAAAGCCCAATCAGTCTTTTTTCAGCATTGGCAGTATAAAAGCAAAATCAGGGAGTGCAGCAAAATGCCGCCTACCTACATTTGTTTATACAGAATGCACCTTTTTCGGGGCAATGGGGGGCGTGAGCAAGTAACAAAACCTGTAGCTCAGCGTGTGACGTAAACAGTGACGTGGGAGGGAAGCCGCAGCTGGTCAGTCCTTCGGTGATTCTCTCATAAGTCGGCCCGTCCTTCACCGTCCCCGTCATCTGATGGTTAATGGCCTTTTTGTTTGCGAGGACAAGGAGGGCGCACAATTCCTTGTCTCCCCAGTTGCTCATCTTTACAGTGTCTGTCAGGTTTGTGTTTCCCTCTTGCTACTAGCTGCTCGCTAATTCCTGCTATCAGCTGTTTCCTGTTTATCCACCGCCAGTGGCTTGCACGTGCGGCGTCATCAACAGCCCCTCCCGTGGCGGAAGGCTGCCTCATTCTTTATAAACCAAAAAGCTTCTGTCAATATGTCTACCCTACGAGGCGGAAAATTGGGCACCTCGGATCAACTCGCCAATCTGGCTCTGTGTGTTTAAACGCTCGCGGCTTGCCGGCAAAACGGCCCAACATTTGCGGAAAATCTGGCAGTGTAAAAGGGGCTTTTATTTCTTGAGCTCATGTGGAAATGTGGGTGAAAGAAAAGCCATTGGATCACCAATATATGGAGAAAATGAACATCCACAAAAAATCAAGGTGATTCGCCCTTTTGTATTTATTTTCTATTTTCAGGGACGATAATTTGCATAAAGGCGTCAATAATTGTCTTAACAGTGGCACTAAATGAAAGCTCATATAATGACCCAAATGGACAGAGCCACCAGTTCCCTCTTCACTGCTGTCTTTGACACTAACTCTTGTCAAGCCGAGTCATGTCAACAACAACAAACAACAAAGAGAACAGAAGAAAACAATGAACATAATAGAGAACAAACTGCAGCACAACAAAGATGAAGGCAAATCAAGCTATTAAAACCAATCATACCCCAACAAGAGGATGTGGGTCTTTAGCAGCACCTTCAAGGCTTCTGTTGGGTTTCTGTAATGCCTTGAAAGGAGGGTGGAGAGAGACCGATGGAAACTTCCTGAGCCACCTGTTTGCCCAATCTCAGATCATGTGTGGAACATTTAAGTGCTCAGTTCTTATCTCTCCTTTGATGTGAGTTTAAGCACAAATGCATTTTTTTCAGCCTGAGGGTTTAAATGAAGGAAACTCAAGAGGGTAGAACAATTAGCAAATGCTTGCCTGATGATGGCACTCGAGGGAAAGGTCAAGAAGTTACCAAAAGTGTTCAAATTCGACCTCTGAAGGTGACAAATGTGCACAAATTACATAGCAACTGGGACATTAGTTTTAGTCTAAGAGACTTAAATGTTAATCAAGTAAAAAGTCCAACCTGACCTGCTATCAATGAAACTTCAAGAGGCTCCAGAGAGATTAGGAATTCCCCTCTAGGGACACAAATGCCAAGTTGCACAGCAGTCTGGCCAGAAGTCATTGAGATATTCTGCTTAGCACAAAAATGTTGGACAGCTTCATCAACCAGCACTTGTTGGGCAGAAAAAAAGTGTTTAAGATGCCCTTCTTTAGAGTAAACTTTTGCAGCCTCTGAATGGACTCAGTGAGCATGACACACGTTCATTACCACCTTGAACTTTGTGGTTAATGCGTATTCCTGTAAATGCTAAACATTACCAATAATCCTTTTTATGCGCACCTTTGATTTGAATGAAAAACCAAAGCTATTTGCATGAGTTATCATGCCATCAGAACAACAGGAAGCACCTGGCCCAACCTGATCCAGATGCAGGAATGATCATTAATATGTTGTGTTCTGTGTAGCTTAAAAGACACAACAAATGATGTCTTTATATTTGTGTCACAGCAGGACAAGTAGTAACAATCACAGGCACCCTGCTGCATACTTTATCTCCATCCTTGCTGCAGGTGATGGAGGTTAACATTCTGTCTGCCTGCGAATCATCTAGCATTTCTGATCTTGTTCTGGCAGCTGCAGGACCAAACCACATCACGAGTCTTGCCAGTGTCCCATCTCTAACAGAGTTCAGCGAGACACTAAGTTAGTTCATGGAAGTGTTGTATTTGAAGGCCTGAGTCCAGGGCACAGCACGGTGTGTTGACTCCTGCCGGTAGTAGACAGCATCAAGGCGCATACTTTGTGAGGATGCCAACACCGCAAGAAGCGTTTGGGGACTATTAGTCTGCTGCTGGCCTCTTCAGCATGTTTAGCAGTTACACCTACAAGTGCTGACACTAATATAAGTATTAAGTATGACAGCTGATTATGGATAACTTGTTTTTTGTTTTGTTTAGGAAGGGGGTTACATTTGGGGGTGAGAAAGGAAGAGGTCCCATGAAGAAAACAAAAAATTCCAAACACATTCTCTGACTGCACATCAGCGTGGAAAATCAAGACAGATGTCAAAGTTTTTTACTCCCAGACCCAACGCCCGCTTGTGATTTTTTTCCGTTCACTCCCTTCCACAAATATTGTTCCAATCCCAGTGTTTGATAAAGAGCCCAGCTCTGGCGCAACAAGTCCTTCATTCCAGCCAGCCGCGTCCCCGTTCTCGACCCCTGTGTGCGCACAGCTCCCCATATCGAAATAACGGTGCGCACAGCGGATTCAGGCATCTGCTAATGCCATCAAAGGCTTTATCTCAACCGAAGGCTTTCCAGCCGCGTCTACGTGGCAGGTATACTTTGATTATGTAAAGATGCCCACATCCGTGCGTGCATTTAAGACGCGCGTAAGTGCGCTTTGGAGAAGAACTTTTTTTAAAAAATAAGGATTCATGCAATAAGAAATACTTACTGTGTTTTCTTTCCAATGAAAGCAGTAGGTGGGTAGCTTACTCCCTGACTGGTTCCTGGATGTCCAACTCAAGTTTGATTCGAGGTGCCTGAAATCCCTCCAACAGAAAACTCCTAGAGACTCAGCCTGTGCAACTCTTATGTCAAAGTCGCAGCGGTGTAATAAAAGATTCCAAATCCAAAATACAGCCAGGTAACCCTTTCATTTTATGTCCGTGCAGAAAAGCAACACCTCCTCCGATGCTTTATTGGTTTTTATTCTCTCCACCAGCAGCGTGTCCCTGTTTGTGAAGTTGTTCAATTGATTCGTCTCCGGATGAAGTCGCCTTGATGCTCTCTGCTGTGTCTCCGTGCCTCTCTGCGCTGGCGCGGCGGCTCCGCCAAGCTCTCCCTCTCTTTCTCTGACCGACCGACTGCCACACACACTCTGCAGGAGAGGACCTTTGTCTGCACATGACGTCACTCACACACACACATTCACACACAGACACACACTCACTGCAAAGAATGCATTTGAATAAAGAGTGGCAGTGACATTTGCGCACGTTATTTGCTTTTTTAAAAGGTGTCACAGCATTTCACTGCAAATTAATAAAAGTGAAGAGTTTTCTTTAAACTGGTGGATTTTTATTCTTAAAACACAGAAAACAGGTGAAACTTTAGTACAAACAAGTGCATTTAATTAATCTAATTCGAATTCTTCCCACTTATCTACTGAAAGACTGATATTTCATGATGTAAATGTCCTGTTACTGAAGACATTTCTTGTAGTATTCGCAGTTGAGAGTTGTTCTTTTTCCCTCAGAGCCTAATTGGAAACACATTTTTTTTCAGTAACTTGTTAGGAAAGAGACAGGAAAGGAGAGAGGGGTGGAGTGAAGGGGAGAGAAAAAAAAAGAGAGCGTGAGACTGACACTCAGGGACTCAAAGACATATTGTATTCCTTACCAATTAACCCTCCACATAATACACTGGAAATATTTCCTCCTGTCTGCCGGTGCCGGTGTCCAAGTGAAGTGAAAACCTTTTTTTCATACGGGGTTCTCAGGTTATGAGAAAGTATTTGGTGAAGGGACAGTTATGTCTGCCAACTTTACACCATCTGTGAACACTTAGTGAGGTGTTTGTAGTAAACCAACCGCCGCCGCTGTGGAATGAAATGAAGTGTAAAAGCCATGGTGCATCGAACAATAGGACATTTGCTCATTTGTCCCATTAAGTCGAATATGTCACTTAAATTGAATGTTATTTAAGCACATCAGTGCCATATCCTCAAAGTACACCATCACTCAGACGTAATTCAGGACAGGCTCCACAAGCAAAAGTTTTTTCCCCATGTAGAACTATTGCAGATATTTTGATTGTTGTTTTTTCGCCAGTCATTTTTAAGTAGCTCTGGGATTTGCTTCTTTTCTGTTATTGCAATGCAACACTGAATATAGGCCTTTTAAGTGTGGGTCAGACAAAACAAGACATTTTTTGGCATTACCTTGGGGTTTAGGAAGCTGTGGCATTAAAAAAAACTGGCATGTTACAGACCAAATTATAAACTGATTAAACAAATATTTTGTGGTAAATTGGCTGCAGCCCTAATCCAGTGTAGAGTGTTACAGTGGAAGAATTAAGCATCTTGGACGCCTCATGATGGATTTATACTTGCAGAGCTTACACCGTAGCCTTTGCTGTTGTGAGCATTTATACTTGTGCGGTGGTGTGTCTGTGTCAATCTGCAGTTACCCCCAAAACACTAGTCAGCGATGGGTTTTCTGTGAAGTGCTGTGAAGTTGAGCTGATTCAAAACCCATCCAAAACACACATTAAACACACATTAAACATGGCTTAATAGCAACAATTTCAAACACAAGTACACAAATCAGCTTCACTATAAGTCGCAGCATTCACAGATAAACACTTGTCTTTATCTGGACACATTTTCCCCACAAATACAACATGCTAATGTTTTTAGCACAAGCCTATGGCACTTTACATTGTATAAATTAGCTTAGTGGCTAGTGGACTTTTTCTTTATTCATATGAAGCCAGGGACAACAGCAACATTTAACAAAGGTAACGTTACAAATTTCAGCTCCATTACAACTCACAGGGTTCACTGACAAAACAACTGTCTTATACTAAACACGTTTTCCAAACAAATATAACATGCCAACGTTATTAGCACTAGCCTATGGCATTTTACATTGTATAAATTAGCTTAGTGGCTAGCAGACTTTTCCTCTACTCATATAAAACCAGGGACAACAGCAACATTTAACAAAGGTAACGATACATAATTTGGCTCCCTTACAACTCACAAGGTTCACCAACAAAACAACTGTCTTATACTAAACATGTTTTCCAAACAAATACAACAAGCTAACATTATTAGCACAGGCCAACGGCATTTTACATTATACAAATCAGCCTAGTGACCAGCAGAGATTTCCTGAAGCCAGAATAAATCACAAACAAGACATAAAATGCTATTTTTGTGGAGGCTTTACTGTCTTCACAATTTATTGTTTCTTATCTGTGAAATTAAAGTAAATAAAAGCTTTGTTTCCACTGAGGGAAATGGTTTCAGCTTACAAAAATGACAGGAGGTCTGCGTTGCCACGGTGTGTAGTTACATTTCTGGGGAGGTGCACGTCAGGCTACGACATAGGGGACGGCATAGGTTTTTTGCCTACTGGCAATATCTATGATGCCATGGTTGTTGATTCCTCTGATTTTAGAAGTGATGCTTCTGTCCCCTACTTCCTGTTTACCTTGGCTCATCATGCAGGTCATGAAAAACCCAAGCTGTCCAAATTAAATGACAAAAAAGGTAATTTGTCATTACCTTCTGAAACCAACCAATGGCAAGATGCCATCATGTGTCTTTGTCTTCAAAACTCTTAACAATGACTTACAAAAATAATTCAAAATGACCCTCTTTTATTTGCCACTGTAATAACAGTCCAGTCACCAGAGAAAATGTTGGCATTGTACTTTTCGTCAAGTTTCATTGCATTTCAAGCCAAGACATAGCTATGTTTTAGTGCCAGCAAACTCAAGTATTTTAAGCCAAAACATGATTTTTCCTAACAACCACCAATTGGTTTAGCAGTAAATAAGGTTTAGTTAGGTTTAGGCACAATAACAACCTAGTTAACGTTGGGAGAAGATCACTCACTGTTGGTCAAACACGGGTTCCAAACAGTGCTCACAGGCTTTGTGGGCCCAGCCATCCACCTCGTCCTCCTCCCTAACAGGTTTTATCAACCTCCGCTCCTGACAGACAGCAGTCATAAAAGTTTCTTGTCAGGGAAACGTGAGCAAAGGTTTTTTTAGGCATTTAGGAACGATCAATGCTGTCATTGTTCTCGTGAGGACAGTCTCCAAAGACAGTAAACTATGATTGGTCTGAGATCATAATCTGACATGTCTCTTGGTAAGTGACAGCAGGAATGTAAAGCGTAATGATTATAAAGTAACCATGACAAAACACTTAATGTCAATGTCTGATGGAAATTTAAAATCTCTCACATCGCTGTGACTACCACAAGATTCAGCCTGACTTCAGTATTTGGTTTCCCTGCCACCCACATGTGGTTCTTCTTTGCCTTTTAAAGCACAGAGCATAGCACAGTAATGTGGAGAAAAAGAAGGAAAAGCAGAAAATACAAAATTACTTAGAAAGACATGATGTATACAGTCACTTGTAGCGTCTGGCAAAGGCTACCCTAGGATGGGAAAGGATCGAGTGGAACCGCATAGAACCCAGCAGTGGGGAAATCTGTTTGCTTTGAGTGATTTCTCAAAATACTTGCATGACCACTGTGCTGTATTTGTGCTCTTGTTGCGATAGAAGCTCCTCTATTTCACACAAGTCTAACAGACCAAATTTAAACCGTGGTGTCCCACAATGGAAAGCAAACATCTACCAGTTGGCCAAAGGAGAATCCTACCTACTGTACAAGGGGGAGACTCAGGCGTGCATGGCTGCAGGCAGATGTGTACTTGTTTGCTTAGATGCTGTTTGCTGTATATGTGATGATCTGATTTAAAGATGGACTATTTACTCTGCAACTTTAATAAAAACATAACTTTGAGCAAGATAAAACCGGTTGTCAGGCATGCCAACTTTTCATATTAGAAGCTTTATGATATAGTCTTCCAAATTTAAGTACTTCTTCTCATGTTATTATGAGGCACAAGCATGTTACATGCAGAAATACTTTGACATACCACTCCTAGAAAAGGGTTCTTACTGATGGCTTAAGGTTCTCCCCTGAACCATGTGTTTGTGAAGAACCCTTTTTTTCAAGAAAAAGTATTTCAACAGTTCTTTGTAAGGCTAAGAGTTTCATTAAAAACCCTTTTCAACCACAGAACTCTTGTTAAGAAAGGGTTCCTCAAGGGTTCCTTGTAAAGCTGAAAACACACTGGCACTGCTGCAGTGTGTCATGTGCCAAACGTCATGTGCCACCCCTATCACACTGGACGTGTTGCGCTGCAGCTTGTCAACAGACGACCACACAAAGTTATTACTACTTTACTGAAAGATCTGTACCTCTTCCACCTTTGCATTACCTTAAAATCAAGTATGGACATCTCCTAATTAAAGTTGATTTCACACCTAAAGAGCCGATCTCCGAGCTACAACTCGCCAGGAAATGTCTTTTTGGCCATTGTCTTGATAATAGGATTGTGGGTCGTTTACCTCTGGATATTTCTCAACCTCAACAACAAGTCTCTCCTCATCCATTCTTTGTCACACACAAGACAAAGCAACAGCAAGAGTTCTCTTTAAGAGCAGAGAAAAATAACTGCTATGGGAGCTGCTGTGTACAAGCAGAGAGGGGGGGGGGGGAAATGCATCTCGTTCCGGCGGCGTCAAAGGTGGAAACAGGACAGTGATGTAAATGGTCATGGGGTGGCACCTCTAAGAGCACCAATGCATGCTTTACTGCTGCCAGCGTGGGGTTGTACATGGAAAATAATAGGGGTGTATTTCTTGACGCATGTGTTTGCTGCCGGTGTGTTTTGGCCTTAAGATTAAGTGTTTCATTAAGAGCCCTTTTATCCAAACTGAATACCCATGCTTTCAACAATCCCTGAGGAACTCTTTTCCCCAAAAGGTTCTAAGATCCTCACCCCCCATCTGCTGAAATGTTTACCCATGTTTGAAATGGTATTTTTGGGTGGGTTTTAGATGAACCTCTTAGAAAATAAAATGGTTTCTCAGTAGAGCCCTTTGGGTGAGTCCTTGTTAACACCCTTAGAAGGTGAAAGGTTCTGGATGAAACCACCAGAGAGGCTTCTGGGTGGAACCATTACACCATAAAGGGGTTCTCTGTAAAACCTTTACAAGGCATGTCTAAACCTTTAATAAAAGGTTGTACAAGGAATCAAAAAAGGCTCTCCTATGGGGACAAGCCAAGTAACCTTCCCCATCAAGATATCTGTACAGAAAGTT